TTCTTCCGCGGACGAAGATACACTATCACTTTCAGAACTTTCAGAATTAATCGAAAATGTACACTGATCATAGTCCTCGGGCTCCGAATACACTTCCGCTCCGGGGAAAATGTACTTTCCGGGACTCAGTTGATAGTACGAGTTCTCTGTTACGAAGAAACGATCAACATTCAATTGTTGCATTGGAAAGACCATTGAAAAAGAAACGAATGTGTTAGCGCTGTAATGTAAAAAGAAAAGTGGTGTACCTGGCAGCCTCGTGGCGAGACTTTCTCGTGGTTTCGATTGCCAACAATGTCTTCCTAGTCTTCCATTTTTCAGTTCTTTCGTTCTATCGTCGTTTTTCCCTTCTCGACTATCAACACTGTTACAACTGTCGCCGATTCCAGAATCCAAGGCGGAATCGATGGACGCTTGTCTCGGTTTAAAATTGATTTTGTCGATTCCGCTGGCTGACGATATCACCGTGTTCTCGATACAACCGTTCGACTTCAATATCGTGTCCAACTCCGTGGTTTCCGTCGAGAATTCGACTACCCTCGGACATACTTGACACTCCTCCAAATTATATACTTTCCCATTATCTTTCGACGTCGATTCTATCGACGTGACACGGATTTTGTAGTCGGTCGAACAATTCGAATTCTCCATTACAGACGAGCTGCTCGTGCGGAACTCTAGAGCGGAATGACCGCCAAAGTTCATTCTTTTCGGACTACTCTCCTCGCTCGACTCTCCTAATCTTCTCTTCGGACTCTCCTGCAACAGATCGAACCTCTCTTCTATATTATTCGCGCGATCGTTTCGGAACGGTGAAACGCAGATGTTTCTATTATCCGAAGATTTCTGGATATCTCGAGTTTCGAAGGAACTCGCGTGTCGCGTCTTAAAATCGGTGTTCTCGACGCTGTCTCGGGACAGGAGGGTGTTGCTGGTCGTATCCTGACTCTGTTCCCACGAATCCTCGGGCAAGTAACGTAACGATACCAGTTGAGACGCTTCTTTGAGAACCGTGTTGTTCCAACAGACTTCCTTGTAGCTGTCTCCCATTCTGTGAACATACAGCAGAATGCAACCATTCGACGTTTAAAAACTCTCGCTCGGGACAACGCGCGCGACGAGTGTTACTTACAAGTGACACAACTGATTCACAATAATATCCCCGTCTCCCAACAGTTCAACGTCGAACTTGAGATGCGGCAATGATTCGCGATTAATCAGAATTTGTGGAACATGCGATGGTATCGAGGATGGAATTAAAGCTACCGGCCGAACTTTCAACGATGATCCGATTACGATCAAGAGATCACAGTCGTCTTTGTCTTTGGCCATTGCGTCGTGAAAAGCGTCCGGAAGTCCTTCGCCAAAGAAAACGATGTCCGGCTTCATGATGCCGTGCGTTACCAAATCTATAAATTCGAAATATCTCTGTGGTAAGGATGGATCCTGAACGCGTCCCGGTTTCGCTGCCCGTACCAGATTACGCGTTTTCTCTCGGTTGATCGTAACGCGCGCGGTATTCTTTGAATTCTCGGAATAAATGAAACGGCAAGTCTTGTGAACTGTACCTCGGAAATCTGGCTAAACAGCACGCACGGATAACATGATGCAACGTTTGAAAGGTTACCTTCTATCAGTGCTTATAAACAAGCCAAGGTTTTACTCGCAGTTACAATTGATGTATCAACTTATGCGCAGATCAGAGTAAATGGCAACACATCACGTATAGCGAAGACGTATTCCGCAAAGAGCAGATAATGTTCTCTCGTGGCCACGGACTCGCGACGCGCTACAGGAAAGACTAATGGCAAAAACTATCACTAGGCAGCTAATACTTGCTACTAGAGAAATTGACAAGCGATTAACAACAACTTGTATAACACCACAGAATATGAGCAACAAGTCACGCAACCGATCAATACATTTCAAATTACCTTTGTAATTTTCGTTAAAATTCAACTCCGATATAGGTGGCAAAACATTCACTCTACATTTTGGACACAAAGGTATTCTCTGTGCAAAAATATCCTCCCTGATATCGTCGGCTCTCACTTGGTATTTACACCTTGTACAAGACGCGGTTGCAAAGGAACCTTGAACATTAAACGAACATCATAGAGTTTCTCGTGTTCTCGCAAGTTATTCAACGTACAACTGTCGAGAACCATCGGGTTAGAAAATCTTTCGACCACATAAACTGCTCACCATGGCATTCTATGACATTTTCAATGCCTGCTACTTGCTCAAGAGTGTCTATGTTTTGCGAATAATTTCGAAGAAGTTTCTTTTGCTTGTCGAGCATTTGGATGAACCTGTGACAAGGGCTTGGTTTAAACTGTCCCGGATAAATTTCTCGTGCAAATTTGTAAAACGGTCTCGGATCTTGACCGAAATAGTTGATGTCGAACATGGCCTGCAACATATATCACGAATCATGGCAATTAACGAGATAAACATTTCGCGTTTCAGCAAACAACTTGAAATTTTACTCCGTATACCTGTGGATCCGGTAAATCTGGAAAATCTTGAGCCAGTCTGGAATAAATACCGTCTCTACTTCTAAAATCAGGAATGCCGCAACTGACACTTACGCCCGCTCCAGTCAACACTATAATTCTTTTACTGCTACGTATTAACCTGACTACGTCTGACAAAGTGTTTATATGCCTTAGCTTCTGTCGGCGCGGTGGTTCGGACATTACATTTATTATAATCTGAAATACATTTACAGAAATTCTATGACGAATGTCTCGATGGATTACACGGTTGTAGCATATACGGTTATCAGGATTATATTCTCACACCTTCCAGAGGGTCAAGTCGTCGACTTGTTCGGGAATTTGCGTGGAATCCATAAGAATATGGTGAAGAAGATCTCTAGGATCGGCACCTATCAACATTTGCTTCTGGACCCAAGAGGACGCGTTTCTCCATTGTTGATTCACTTCCCATTCCCCGGAGAAGTCGGACAGTCCCGATAAATCGGATAAATTTGAAACTGTCGAGGACACTTCGTCTTTCTCGTCTGCTGTATCGATTCTGAAACGTTACACGCGATGCCTAATAACCGATGCCGAGCGACTCGTTCGATTTTACGGAGGAGAAGGTAAACTTACGGGCAGCCAGTATCGTCGCTGGTCGAATCGATTCTGGATAAGGTGGTTGTCAATTTTGTAACATCCGGGGAAACAGAAGTTGATTTAGATTCGTCGCTTAATTCGTTAAATCCGCTATCACCTCCTCCGTACGTTTCTGCAAAAAGAATCGGGTAAACGGTTTACATTAAGCGTAAAACAAAAATAACCGTAATCATTGGAATTATTCGGAATTATTAGGTTACCATCAAGGATAGAATTCATATTTTTATGAAATGTATATCAGCTTATAGCTACAGCATTCGCAATCTTTTTGACTTTGACCGAAAAGTAAACATAATACAAGTAATAAGGTCGACGGTGATAATACGACATTTCTTGGTAATCGAAACATTGCTTTCGAAATATTGAAAAGTGGCGGGATACAATGGACGATCCGAAGAAAACTGGCCACTATCAATACGTAAAGAAGACCGTGCCATCTGTGAACGTTTATCAAACAACGCGCATGACATCGAATCTTCCTGTCACTAGTTTTTCTCTTTTCACTATACGAGTCGTCGTTGGGTTAGCTATTTCTCAAACGAATGAAATGGAAAAATCCCCCAAAACGGGATAATTCTAAAGGAATCTGTTGAATTTTTACGATTTTTAAATTCGATTCTCTATACAGTCGGAAAATAAGTTACACCGAGACTTATTCTATACATACGCATAAAAACTGTCATGGCGGTAACTGTCTCGCATCAACTGCGAACAACCGCGACGCGATCAGACTAGAGAACTGGACGCCTTTTGAACCGCCATCTTGCAAACTCGCAAATTTCATTACTGAGTTGAGCATATTTTTCTGAGAATACCTTCAAGATCTTCATTTGGAGTGTCGTGTGACGTCTCACAGTGTTGGAAATCAGGTTTCACAGTGCTAGTACCGGCGTAATCGTTGCCGTCGACTTTTCGTCGTTTCGCTGGGGATGAATATTCTGGCAGCTCCGAGCCTGACGCCATTTTCGACAGCAATGCAATGCATAGTTTGATGCGCTACCGTTGCTATACAGAGGTCGCTTTTGTCCTTAATGCTTTTTTCCCCTCCACTTTTTCGGTTAGCAGCAGGATAACATCGACACGGTATGAAAGTTTCAAGAATAAGGAAGAAGATCAATAGTAGGTTCGTACGTTTGTTTGATTCTTCCGCTAACGGTAGACTCGATTTCTCGAGAAAATCCGCGTACGCGTCCGTCTAAGGACACTCGAAGGCATCCATTCGAACATCATTTCATGTTGAAGACTTTTCATTGCACGTGAATATACACAAGTCCCAACCTACCTTGATTCCACAATTTTACCAGATTTTTTCTTCTTATATCGATCAAACGTCACTTTTACGCCAATTCTACCTATTCGGTAAGATGATTTTGCAAGATGCTCCGCTGCGAAACATGGGAATACCTTCTGAACAATGTAGATGGAGTTGACGATAATGTCGGTATTGAAAAACATTGGAAAACATTGGAAAACATTGGAAACTATTGGAAAATATCAAATTCTACAATAGTATAATTCCATGTTTCTCTCGAAAGTCAACCGCACCGGGTTTGTCTTTTTATCGGGATTTCGCGATGAATAGGATAATTACCAATAGTATTACGAAAGATAAAAGTATCTTAATTTCTAAAAATCATCATTGTTTCATTTGCTAAAGAGCACATCGCCACAAGTAAATATGTAAGATACACGAAACAGCTGTGTCGCCATCTTCGAGAAACGCTCAAACTATTAGGTAATTGATACTATACCTGCACAACTAGATGGAGTTCACTGAGTTTTCTAGGTGTATAATTAAACAAATTTCTCTGTTAAATTTTTTACCTTCACGAATACCGCACGTAGGACCAGAACATAAAACTACCTCGAAACTATTGGATATAAGTCGTAAATAACCTAACCTGTTCACTGTACCCATCGGATGTATTCACGAGCGTTGTGCTCGGTAGGTACTTTCTTTGAAAAATTCCGAAATATAAGCGAAATATGTTCTTTGCAAGTTCATTTCTATCAAGATTGCTTAACGATATTTACCACTTTCCTCATTCTTAATACATGTTTAATTTTTTCACGAAACGAACTTGTCGATTAGTTAATTAGTTGTTATACTTTATAATAGACGATAGCACCAATATTTCCATCAAGAGAAAATTTGAAATATTTTCTGAATTGTTTCGTTCATAGGCATGGTGAAATCTGTCGATTTCTCATGTATCGCGTTATCAAAAAATTCCAACTATTTCTTAGCTATCTACTTCGTTATAGATACATAACTACACAAGTACATGTTCTTACTTGGAAGTTATGTATAGAAGGTGTTGCCACATTGGGCGTATCATTACGTCAGTATTAAGTAAAAATGCTACAACTATCTTTCGATTATTAAACACGATATATTTTTCAATGAAAATTTCATAGTTTTATGGAACTGAGAAAATTTTTCAAAATATTTCCATGTCATTGATTATCACAACTCAAGAGGGGTATCTCGGTGTTCAGCGAATGGAGTTTGCTTGTTTTTCTAATATAAATGTTACACCTGTTAAATAAAGTAGTCTGATGTTTTGATTAATCTTTAGGAATTTTCCTTACTCTGCACTTCGTTTCCGTCACTGTCACGTGGGTTATTCGAAAAAGTTTATTCTTAAAGCGAGGAGACAATATACGAGACAATACGTATTAATTATAAATGAACTTGTCCAAATCGAAGCGGCGAGATACTAAACTAAAATCTAAATAACATTATCATATTCAGGGTGCTCGATCTACATCAACTTGAAGAAATAACCGTATAAACGCGTGCTGTGCCCGTATCCTTCCTCTGTGTGACTATATATTAGAAAAACATTTTTCAAACATTTGGAATTTTATAAATAATAAATAGTAAAAATGGCAGACTTACGAGATGAAAGCGAGACAAATTTGCAAAACAATAGAAAATATACCAATTTGAATATACCTGGTAAGTGAACGATGTATCCGGTTATTTAAGGCAATGTATCTTATTTTATTTCTCGTTGATTTTCGATCTGGGTAACATAGTTTAATGATTAGTAGTTTATTATACTCTACTAAAACGAGCAGAGAATTTATATGCAACACGCAATATACAATTGTATCTTGTATCTTGTATTATATTGGTTCGACTTCAATGTTGTTCACTGTGTTATCGTTTAACATATTCATGATATATTTTATTAATAATTAATAAGATTTTATATCATATTTATTAGTGAAGTCACAGCAAGGATTAACGCAACTTAGTCCTTACTTGAACTTTGATCCCTCGTATATATCGCAAAGTCAAGCAGAATATATATTTCCAAATGGTGCTGCGAATCGAAGAGGTAGATTCGAATTGGCTTTTGGTCAAATCGGAGCAGGATGCTTGATAGGAGCCGGTATCGGTGGTGTGGCAGGCTTATATAGAGGTATTAAAGCGACGTCTTTAGCTGGTCAAACCGGCAAGCTTAGAAGGGTACAGTATGTAATTTGATTTATTTTTGATGTTTACCAAACACAGCGGAAATTACAAGTTAACTTGTAATTTTGTATTGTACAGGTTACTTAACCATGTCTTGAAAAGTGGTTCTACAATGGCTAATACATTGGGAATTATATCACTGTTGTACAGTGGTGTCGGTGTGTTGTTTTCAGTGGCAAGAGGTACAGACGATTCTTTAAATACTTTACTATCGGCGATGACAGCAGGCATGCTGTTTAAATCGACAGGTATGTATACAACTGTGCATACAAAGATGTCAAGATAGTATAATTAATCATTGAATCTTTCCAGCTGGATTTAAGAAGTGCCTACAAGGCGGTTATGTCGGATTAGGAATTGCATCCATATATTGTTTGTGGAGTAAGCGAGATACTTTGGAATTGAAGCTGCGCAGCATTAGTTAAGCGTAAGATTGTATATACCAGAGATGCCTTTCCAGTTATTCTAGACATTTGCCAAATATTCCTTGTATACGAATAACCCATGCCTTTATTTTTAGTAGTTTTTGTCCGCCGAAAAATTAGCAGAGTTAGAAAAAACCTACGAACGATATCTATAATCGAACGGATTTGTAAAAATTACTGGAAAGAAAACGAAAGAAAATGTTTATCGAAATATTCGTACGTAATGTTTTAATATTCGCAACAAGGATGTGAAAACATTATCGGTATAACGATAATAAATTCACAGCACTATTTCAGCGGTTTAGCATTTACAAGGTTTCTTGAAAACAAAGATGACATTACTTGTATTTTTCTTATTTGTTTCGTTTCGTTTCGTTTCGTTTTGTTTTGTTGTCAATAAACCTTTTTGTTATTCGTAGCAAGAGTAACGATTGAAATGTTACCTATGACAGTAGCTAAGATACTCTAATGCATTCCTATGCATTCATCGAGTTCCTTTTTATTCGAGCACTTTTTACATTCTTTTCTTCACACGTGTAATTAACAGATAATATTAAGATAAAAGTTATTGTTGTTGGTGCTTGAAATAATATTCAAGTAAATGAACCTTTTAACAAACAAATGACTCGAACGATGGACATGAAACGTAGGTGAAAAAACGAAGAAGGTGGAAATAATTTTGTTCTTCTAAAATATGTTCAACCTTACTCGTAGTTATTCACCGATAGAAGTTGCGCATGCAGTTTTCTATCGGCGAACGAATATGATTTGTAACAAGTATTCTTACACGGTGTTATCGTTTGTTTTTTCAGTTGAAAATAAGATCGAAGCCTAATTCGAAACTACTGAAAATTGACAACGATTTCGGCTTTGTTAGTATGTATATAGTACGGAACATGTCGGATCGAAGGACAAGTCGAAGGATAAATTAAAGGAGAAATGGTTGAAACGCGGTTTGCAGAATCAGTCTGTAGGAAAAATAAATAAAATTGTGCTAGCGAAGAATTATTTCATGTTGGTTTCTACCTCTGGATTATTACATTAGAAAGATGAGAAACACTGCACACCTCAATGCATAGCTCGAGACACCTGGATTACTATTGCTATTGCGTCAGTAACATACGATAATCTTATCAAAGTTTATCTCTCCGTAAAGCCTGCTATAAAGTGTATTCTCGCGTTTCACATTGACCGTACAGATTTTGATTTGTTCTAAGGTAAAAAACAACAATCTAAGGTGAACGATTGATTTGGATTATCCGTGGTATTAATTAAAAGGTCGGGTTCTGTTGGATTCTGGGTACAAAGTATCTATGTAGTAAGTATATATTTTTCTTCGTGTGATCGAAAGTGTACGCGAAGTTAGGTTCATTACACGTTCCTTTATTGCCTGCAGGCGTTCGCGAGCACACGAGAGTACTACGTGCGTGCATACGCGTGTGCACACGTATTCCAAATAATTCCATATTCGAACGAATAATTTCATAATAATCGGAACTGTGTTTGGACATGTGATTTAAACGAAACACGCGTATAATGTTCGCGTTTACGAACGTAAGTAGCTATCGACGAGTGCATTGACGAGTGTTTACAGAAAACCACTGTTAATTGCAACAAGAACACGTGTGTGGTATTTCACGGACACACGAATGCACGCATGTATGGACGTACGCGCGATAATATTCGGCGATCCTATGCGGTAAGCTTCCCCGAATCGCAGAGCCCGTCAGAGAAATAACATTTTCGAAAATACCGTGATTATTTCGAAAGGCGTCGAGCACTCTTCTTAATCGTTAAATTAGCTCAAATAATCGAGTCAAGATCTGCGAGGAGAGGAGAGAGACGGTAAGGATTTTTCTTGCAAACCATTGACGCGCGGACCGTATCGCACCACGGGAAATCTAGAAAATCTCATTTACTCGTTTAAGTGATTCCAGTCCAATAAGCAGATTATGTACTATTACGAAAGGATGTTTCCGTGCGAGGAAGCGAATGACAAGCAACGATAACCGATTATTTCTTTTTCCATTTCCTCTTCCGAGAGATTCAGCTGGCCGTTCTGTAATCCGAAGCATCGCGAATGAATCGTTGTCGCAATGCAAAAATAGTACCTCGAGGAAACGCTAACTACGAAAATATTTACACAACTGAGATCGAACATTCGTTACACCGCGCGCGTCCGTGCGCTCGTGCGCTCGTGCGTGCAAAGCTTTTCTCAACAGATATACACGAAACGCGTCTGCACACGTCTTTCTTTCGAAATGAAATTCAATTTCTATCTTTGATGCATTTCGCATCGTTTCATCGGTTCTTCTTCCTTCTGCTTTGCGTTTCTTCTCCTTTTTGCTTGAAACACACCTTACACTCGAGATATTTAACGAACGTCTACCCCCGAATTCTCAACGCTGCTACTATTGTACCATCGCTGTGCGTGTGATTATTTTCATCATCTTTATGAAATATTTGCCAAAGGAAAGTTTTGATACATGGAATGCTGTAATTTCCTCGTAGAGAACAAATTGTAGTAGAGACGAGAACGAGAACGAGAACGAGAACCGAACCAGCGCAATTTGGGCTCTACTTCTGGTTCCGATTTCAATATCCTACCGATATACTCGGGTATAATTTTTCTGTTACGAGAAGGAGCACGATGGAAGAGAAACGGATAGAGTGCGCATTGTGTGTGCTTTACCTGTTATCCGCAATCTTATCTTTGACGTCGTTGACTAGTTTCGTTACTGTTTGGCAACATTGGACACGAACATTGAACGTTTGCATCAGTATCGACTGTGGTTGCATACTTTACTCTATCAATACCTTCAGCACTTTTATGGGAGGTGACGTGAAACTCTGCCAATTTGGCGCGTATGGCTCGATTCCAGCAATTCTGATCGGTTTGTGTCTCGGTGGATACCATGCGTATAGATGTTGCATTCACAGAAATTTGGATAAACCCGTGCAAGTCCAGGATAACGCGAGCAGGTACACAACACCCGGATCACGGAGAACTTCCGAGTGTCGCGCGCACAGACTAAAACGGTTTACGATCGTTTGATTGCAGGAACTTGCAGAGTGACGTCGATCGAGTGCCGGTCACCGTAGTGGCCAGGCCCAAAAGAAGAAGCCGGTACAAGCATTGGATACCCGTTGTATTTCTCGCTACTTTGTTTTCTTGTTTATTACTGGCGCATGCGATCGTTATGACCGACGGTTACTACAAGACCTGCGAGCAATTCAGAAAAAGGATTATACAAGAACATCGTTCGGTGGGTGGCGAAGCCGAGGTAACGTTTTCGATTATTCCTTCCGGCGCTAGCTTGCGCGCCCCTCGTCTTCCGCTCTACGTTCGCGTTTCCACAGATAGTCGTTTTCCACAGATGATACACAATCGATTTTCTTGCGGAGCAATCTTCGACTTTATGGACTTTGCCCAGGTAACGGAGGACAATTGGATACGCGGGAAACAAATCGATACCGGTGCTGCTCTGAGATTAGCAGTAGTATCCGCATGGCTGAGCTTCTTTGTCTGGACACTTGTATTTCTCTTAAGCGTTTCCATGGTGCGGCAAAAATTGTGTCGTTGCTGACGCGACTCGCGACGTTTCGCCCGAGATGTTTCTCGATTCCCTAGACCGATCTGCAGAGACATTGCTGTGCTAGTGCGATCTCAACGGAATCTTAAAGGAGAGCCATTTATAATTCGATCATTAGAGGAACAAGGTAACGACAAATACTAGTATCCTTTGCATCGTTCTTCCAACGCGTACCTCTTACCGCTTTCCTCTTACCTACCGATGAAAGGGAATAACGGTATACACAAAAGTCTGATCAATTGTAGTAATTAGTAATACATGTATAGTAATCTGATAATATTGTACGATCAATTTTCTCGGTTTTTCTACCGCGAGTACGTTCCAGCAGCCGGGGTTCGACTGGTTGTTTTCCATTTTCATCTGTACCAATTCGATATACTTTCTTTCTTGCTCTTCCCTTGTTACGCTCCATCAACTGGATCAACGCTACTCGTTGTCACGATTCCTCGAAATATCCTGTCCCGTAGAATCACTCGTTTCTATCTGTTGCATTTTCTTCCATGACATTGTCGAACAATCCTCTCTCGACACTGTCGCGATCGAGTCTCGGCACACGCTCCGCGTTCGAAACTGTGACGCCAAGTTGACAAGAGACCCATTGTAATGTGAAGGGTTGGAAAAAAACTAGCCTGTTTGCATTGTTTAAATTACACCTATATTAACGTATCAGCGTATCAGCGTATCAGCGTACCAGCGTATCAGCGTATCAGCGTATCCGCATATTATTGTAGCGTGCGCATACATATACATAACATACACGTACACGTACACGTACACGTACACGTACACGTACACGTACGCATAAACATGTACATAACATGTATTAACGTGCGAACAATAAGGAATGTATTGTATAATTGTTACTATACTATTGTCCCAGCATATCATTGCGTAACGTACCTTTTTTCTAAACCTACCCAGAGCACCAAACTTTTACCCTAACAATACTGAGCTAACAAATGTACAAATCTTGACAACGCGTCAGCCGATCGTTGCCAGGCTGATTTCAAATTGGAGCTTCCGACTATTCCCATTCTCCTTTTCTCTTTTCTCTTTTCTCTTTTCTCTTTTCTCTGTACCATCTATTTAAACGCATATTCCGCAACATTGACACGTTTGTCGCGTACTTTACACAACGCACACGCACACGCACACGCACACGCACACGCACTCACACGTATCTAAGCGTAGGAACTGAAACTCGAATAGAATCATTACTCCGATAACTATAGCGTGAAATAGAATTGACTCTGTTTATCCTACAACAGCAGTATTTCAACGTACTTGTGCTACGCGATAGGACAGAGTTTAAGCTTGAAATACTACTCGACGAAGAAAGGCACCTAAAATTACGCATATATTAGCTACTATATGTACACGTCGAATAAGTAGATATGTACGTATCGTATACTATCGAGTACCGCTTGCGTACATTCACGCACACGTGGTTTACGTTTATTAATTACTTGAGAAAACACGCACGTACAAACACGTACACACACCGACGCACACCGACACGCACACACGTTCCCGTATACGAGGATACACTTGCCACATTGTCTCATTTTCTCTTATTCCTCTTATTCCTCTTTTTCCTCTTGTATTTTTCTTTACAGGTCAATTGCACAAAATAATTGTATAAATCAACAGTTTCTTATAGATGAAAATTACGCCATCGCTTGTACATCTGGAGGTTTCAACAATGAAAACTACACGACATCGGGCCGCGAAAGTTTCAAGTTTCAAGTTTCTGCAACGGGAAATTTCCAAAACAGAAACATTTGTATTTCTGCTGTTGAAAAGAAACCATGAATCGGCTTAGTTTCTGCCAGATTGCGGAAACTATCTCTGAACTCGTATACCGCGTTGTTACGGTTTCAAGAAACGCGCACAGGATATTCTTACCGTTCTACGATATCGTGTAACAAGTGTTTAGGCAAACAAATCTTTTACTCTTGCACCTGTAATTCACAAGCAACAAACTGAAATTACGCGGCGTACTTATCATTATACTTTCTTGTTTGTTTTCGTTCTCTCTAATAGCACAGGATGGATTGTGGCAGTAGAAATTTACAAAGTTACAAATACTTACAAACGAATGAAAATCCGCAGCTACGAAAACAAATGTAAATCGCCAGATCCCTTTGTCGCTATAAATGTGTGTACCAATGGAAAGCTTTCTATCGGAGATGTTTTAAAATTGCAAAAATTGTGAAAATTATGACCGGCAAACAGAAAATAGAAAACAGAACAATTGGATTCCTCCTCTCAAGTTCCTTCACTTTGCTACGTCTTCTAGAATCGATGCATTTGTACGTTTAAAACATATCACTTTTCGATACACGTTCGTCTGAGAAATTTCCTCGTGGTAACTTTTTCCCGATGGACATCTTCGTGCCTCAAGTGAATGGATTGCTTCGCCTTTTTAACGATCCAAATCGTTTCTCCGGTTCTCGAACTACTTCGAAAGGCGTGATTCTCTGTGGAGTTCCGATTCGCTTCTCTTCGTTTTCATCGCTCGGAAAATCTTCGAAGCTGAGATTGTTGAACCCAGCGGTAACGACAACGGAACATTTCTTTGTCTTTGCGGTCTTTTTGTGACACGCAGACTTACCCTTGTACGATAACAAACTCGCTGGTAGAACATTCACGACGTCTCCATGATTTTCGTCGATCAGCTGATATTTTGATTTTTCCGATTTAAACTTATCCTTTTTGTGTTTCGGCGCGTCCTCTGCGACAACCAACGGTTCGGGCGACATGGGTGAAACCATGATATCCTGCGCACTATCGAGTCTCGATACACTGTTTGCGAGAGGAACGTTAATTCGGGAAGAGCGTTGGACGGGCTGAATGGCGTACGACGGATCCAACGAAGCAGATGCTGATCGAGAAACGTTTGACGTTATTGCCTTGTCGGATCGTATTATGTTTAAAGTACCTTCGACAAAACTTGTCAGCTTGGAAGGTAACTGCTGAGAGTATGCTCTCTGCGGTTGTTGTTGTTGCTGCTGCTGCTGCTGCTGCGTTTGCAGTTCCGACTGCTGTTGTTGTTGGTCAGTTCGAAGGGACGCAAATTCGTCGAACGGAATAGACCCGAAAAGATCTTTCGAATGATCGTAATCGTCCGTCGCGGCAGAAAAATTTGAATTTCTTATCACCGAAACAGCTTCTTCCGGAGGGTGGACGTATGAAACTGTCTCCAATTGATTCGGGCAAGAAGATATGCGATTGTGGTTATCGTACAATAAATTTCTGATCCCCAATTTTCTAATCAACACATCCGATTCGTTCCCTACAGCATAATTCGAAACTGCTCGATGCATAAAAGGATTCACAAAATCGCACGGACTAAACGGCGAAGAGCCGAACAAATCTTTTTCTTTGCTTTCTTTCTCCTTCTCCTTCTCCTTCTCTTTCTCTTTTCCTTTCTCTTTCTCTTTCTCTTCATCCAGCTCCTTTTCTTGTTGCTTTCTCCTTTCATTTTTTTCTGTTCCTTCCTTAGACCTTTTCTCTTCGCCTTCTCCAACGATTCCATCGATATTCATCGTTACTCGAAACGGTAAAGGTCGTTGCTTTTCTATGCAAGTTTCTTTGTACACCTGCCGAAACGAATTGTATTCGGGTAACGACTTGTTTTCGATAGCTACCATAGTGTCGATCAAGTTATCACTGCTGATGTTCATCGTCTCATTCTCTTCGCCACTATCGTTCTTTTTTAAACTGCTAGACTTCCGAAACGGAGCTAAAGAAAATACGTCTTTCTTCATTTTGATCAATCTATCCTTTGAAAGCATCGTCTTCTTGGTTTCGTTCGTCGAGCTGTCGTCATCGGAAGACACGGGTCTCGAATCGTACTGTTGATCGACGAATGGATCGCCGTACGATCGTTTCGATGTTGATTCTGTATCAAGTTCATCGTCCAACAACAGAGGCTTCTCTCCGTATTGATGTCCAACAATCGGGTCCACGTGGATTCGTCTCGATAAATGCCCTACAAGTTCTTTCTTAGACATGTTTCTCTTGCAATGCATCTCGCGTAGCGTGCCGGCGGCTGGTTCGTATACATCGCGAGCCATTGAATAGTAGTTGTTGTTAGCTGCACTATCGTCATTGTCATTGCCTCGTTCCTCCAGTTCCGCCTCGACCTCGAGCTCAAGCTCCAGCTTCTTCGCATCCACATCCGCACGAACCGCCAGCAGCTCAGTCTCCTCCTTTCTCTTCTCCTGATCGTTGTCTACTTCTTTCCCTCTCTCCGGGCCCATCAGCACCCCCACCGCCTCTCCATCGTCCTCCTGCTTGTCCGCCTCTTCCTGTTTCTCCTCGTTCTCCTCCATCTTCTCTTCCTCATCCTCTTCCTCTTCCCTGCTATCTTCTTCGTCTTCGTTCTCCTCCTTTTCCTCCCTTCTCTTTCCCGTTCTTCCCTTACCCTTTCGATCCACGTTAACGTCCACGTTAGCGCTATTCCCAACTGGGTTGTTGTGCAAACCATTTATGTTGATATTGTCATTGGCATTGACACGAATCGAATCTATTGAGTAATTTAGTTGGTCGTTTTGTTCGATCGAATTGTTCGTACTTTGCGGCATTTTCATCTTCCTGCGTAATACATTCTTAACTCTCCTTCTTTTTTGTTTGACTTGTTGTTGCTGCGTTACATCTTTGTCGCTATCACTGGATAAATCATCGACGCTAAAAGTCAACTTTTCATACTTGGATCTATCTTCCATAGGTGCTTGAACAAACAATGAAGAGGTAGGACCGTTGTTTATCAAGAGGGTTGTTCTCTCGTCGGCTTTAACGCACTCGATTCTCGAATTCCATTGATTAGAGGGTATTCTTGATCTACCATTTATAGATATGCCTGAAAAATATAACATAAACATCGATAAAAGTGACGTTTCGTACAACAGATCACGATAACTAGCCACGCACGATGGTGGCAGCAACGATACGCTGTCACGCATTTTCCTATACATCGTATTCGGTCGAGCCGTACAAGTGAAACGAAATGAAAAAGAAAACGCGACAGCGACGGCGACGGCGGCGGCGACGGCGATCACAACAACGGCGTTCACGTTTTCACCGATACGATATTTACTATTTTACGTTGAAGCGCACGCGTTTAATACAATTGAGATTCGTTCTACTTACCTAAAACACATGCGATACATTATTACACTTTAATCATATCGACTAACACAGAATCATTCATCTTTGTACAAATTTGTACACATTTCAGTTACCTTTATTTCCCTACTTTTATCTTATTTACTTCGTTTACTTGATTTACTTCATTTATTAGGAGGATTGTAACATTTTAAATTTATATGGTGAAACTGAACCGTGTAAATCTCTTTTTGGTAAAGATTCTTCCGCGTAAAACACAGGAACCAGTCTCGCGGACTTCGTTCTGGACTACGAATCTGTGAAGAAAGCGCACACGAGTTTTAACAAAAATAAGAATATCTAGTTGAATAGGAGAAGCAGGAAATATCTGATTACATCTTTTACAGATCATGCCTTATAATCTTATAATTATTAACATTTCAGAGTTTACGACTTCCACCATTTATCATCGTGCTTCGGACATTCGATATAAATGTTACAAAAGAATCTTTTTCCCAATCGTTCTTCAAGTATTACCACTGTTTTCACCACCACCACCGCCACCATCACCCTCACCATCATCTACATCACTGTCATCATCACCATCATTACCACCATCGCCATCGCCATCACCATCACCATCACCATCACCATCACCACCATCATCATCATCATCATCATCATCATCATCATCACCACCACCACCATTGTCACTATTACCGCTATTGCTGTTGTTGTTGCTGCTGCTATTGTTGTTACTACTACTATTACTACTACTACTGCACCTACTACTACTACTACTACTACTACTACTACTACTACTACTACTACTACTACTACTGCTGCTGCTGCTGCTACTGCTACTATTACTACTCGTAGGTCTGGAACAGTCCTAATCAGATTCAGAGGGTGAGGATAATGAGCGAAAAACGCAGTAATTATTTTCGTATCGTTATCCAATTGAATAGTTATGCTCGTGCCTAGCAAACATGGCCAAACTTCGAATCTGCTGCCATAGTAGATTAATTTTACATCGACCTCGAATCGGGAAAGCTCAATGATTCCTGTTCAATCGATCACTATTCGATCAAGTCATAACGATCAAATTGACGAATAAACAAACAATTGCTGCGTTTTGCATTATTTAAAAGAAAAACAATACTCCATGTGTCATGTAGTAATGTACACGTTTATTGTTGTAACATTACTTTAAAGTAGCGAGAAAAGTAATTTTCAAGACGCAAGCCTCCTATAGCGTGTTCTATTCATATAAAGTGTTCAATGGAGAACAACGTCCAGATCTTCCTGTTCACAAGACAATCAGAATCTTTGAAAAACGTTTCATCAAAGAAGCAACATTGCTTTCGTCTCCCAAACTCATTAGGTTGTTCCAGACATTTTAAAAGATTAGTAAATATACAACATTAGAGAAACCCTGAATATTACAAATAAATAAATATAGAGCAAAAGCGTTCGAGATTTCTCGATGTCTTTAAATGGCGAAATAGGATGAATTTCTAATAATACCACCGCTATACAAATCACAAATATTTGATAATAGTAAGGTGTTGGTTACGCTAAAGTCAACGAATCGTAATCAGATGAAAACGACAGTGTTCCTAATTTGCTATTATAGTACTCGTAACACACTACGAATAAACGAATGTTTAGTATGCGAATTCCTGCACAGGCCACAAAGAACGGAACACAAAGTTACGATTAGAAGCAACACTAAAAGAGAAGAAAAGAAAAGTAAAAAAAGTAAAAAGAAGCGAAAAAAGGAACAGACAAAAAACACCAGACAGAAAATATAAAGCGGCAGATTAAAGAGCAAACCTGCGTTGGCCGATATTATCCATTTTTGTTAGCATAATTTTATGAATAGGGGTATACGTTACTAAACACGCATGTAACTATTTTAATCGATAGAACTGTTCAAGTTATATAAATGAGTATTATACGTTTATATTCTTCAGTTAATAACGAACGCGGTTTTAGATTGAAATAATCATTGAATGGACAAAAATGAATTTTTCCTACATATATTGTAATTAAATGAGATTGAAACTGAACCGAGTAAAATTTGATCATGGTGTTCTTGTAATAATGTACAGCCAGAAAACACAAATATGTATGCTTCTAGAAGTATTTCTAATTTAATTAAATCTTTTCTCTCTCTCTCTCTCCCCCTCATTGTCCCTCTGACTCTCACACGCACACACGCTCGCTCAACCTTTTAATGTTACACTCGGTATTTAAGACAAGTACGCACAATACAATAATTTCATTGATTTTGTACTTATCGTAACAATACCGCTTCCTCGAGTTCTCTCTCAAGCTTGTTTCTTTACAATTATACTATATTCACTCCATATCTATATTCTCATTTCCTATTTTCTACGCCAAACAGCAGTTTGTACCGATAGTATACGTGTACAATAATATACGTGAATACACGCGTATCGGAATATATTTTGGATTATGGATAAATTGAAACGATTGAAAGAATAAACGATAAGAGACGTACGCTCGAACGTCACCTTCGTTTATTATGGAATATAGAACGAATCGATCGATAAAATCGTTGCAAGCCAAATATATACACACTCCCTTGACACACGGTTGCCTGTTCCCCCCGCAACACAACACAGTTATCGATGTGTATCTCTGTTATAAAGATTTAAAGGGGTCTATCATCGAGCTTCGCGTATTGCAATCTTCCTTCTTGTCATAATCCACGTGGAATTTAGTGGAATTTAGTGGAATTTAGTGGAACTTAGTGGAATGTTAACTCCGACGATAAAACTCCATATTAATAATTACTTGTTACCTTACATTCTTTATACTTGTTTATTCTTTTCTTTCGGTAATGTGTTTCTCGTGTATCACAGATTACTTCGTTACTCCTCGAAACAA